GAATCTTGGCTTGCCATTTACTAGCTGTGTGACCTTGGGCAAGTGACTTCACCTTTCTGTTTCCTCAACTATAAACTGAGGATTATTATAGTACCTAACTCAAAAGTGTCATAAGGATTCAATGAATATGTGCAAAATACTTAGCACATAGAGTTGTTTTATATTACAAGACTCCTCAAAAATATACAAGGTAGATTTTAACAGATGAGAAAAGTCAAATTCCAGGAAATTAAATTGCCAAAGGTCAAGTTAGGCAGCCAAGCCAGATTCACATCCTGCCTTTGCTCTCGGCCGCATCACACTGCATCTCAGTGAACACAGATCGTTAGGAGAACCCGTGGTGAGAGAGGTGATTCCTGGTTCCCTGGCCTGAGCTGCCTTCGGTGCCTGCTGGGGCCAGGCCCTGGGGAGCTGGTTGGCCTGGCTCTGGAAACCCGCCTGCCTTAAGCGCCCCCTACCCCTCATCATGAGCCTTTGGAGGGGAGATTCCAACAGATCCCAGCCTCCCCCACAGGAGGGACAACACTCTGCCAAGTCCCCAGCTCCTTCAGAAAGGGACAGGGTGGGGCAGGGCTCAGATTCGGTTATTGGTCTTCTCATATCAGCAAAGTGAATTTTGTTACTTTACAGATCTGTATCTTTAAGGTAATCGAGCAAATGCAGATTAGAGAAAATGGGCAAAAGGATTAAGCACCTGTGCTGTATCTTATCTCCTCCTTTCCCCTAGCGTGTCTCCCGAAACATAGATATCTTTCTGCCTTAATAACCAGTTATTCCGAAAAATGTGTGTTCTGGTAAACACCAAAGTCTCTAAAGGTAATATATTCCTCACTCTGATATTATGTCCAAAGAGAGTGACATGGTACCCATGTTTCTAGCTCTTTCTTTTAAGCAGGAGAGGTGCCCAGCCTCACCAAGGACAGGTCTTGGGACATCTTTAACAAATAGAGACTGGAAACAGGTTTCATCCCTGTCTTTGCCCAGCACTACAAATCCCAGGCGTGGCTCATAAGCAGGTCTCTGATGACCTGAGCAGACGGTCTGAAGCAGGTGACCTGGAACTGGGGCACCACCAGAGGAAGACAGGACGTGAAAAGGCCCCTGACATCAGGTGGCTGTGTCCAGCTCTCTGCCTACACTTTTAGAAACCAGTTCCATGGCACCACCCTCCTCCCTACTCCCAGATAAAGGCAGAAGAAAATGACCTAGAAAAATCTGGATGTGTCTTCCAAAGGCCCTCTCGTTGTTCACTGTTTAAGTAGGTCCCAGGAAGACCAGCAACTGTGGACAAAAGGGCTTCTCTTTCTAGAATGGTCATAATTATGCAATGTCAACAAAAGCAACCTCCTGCTGACTCAGTGGCCCACACCTGCCATCCCAGCGGCGTGGGAGGCCGAGATAGGAGGATTGCAAGTTCAAAGCCAGCCTCAGCAATGGCGAGGCCCTAAGCAACTCAGTGAGACCCTGTCTCTAAATAAAATACAAAATAATGCTGGGAATAGGCTCAGTGGTTGAGCGCCCGAGTTCAATGTCTGGTACCAAAAATACCAACCTCCTAACCGGCTGGCTATTCTGCCAAGGGAGAAACCAGAGCCACCCAGCGGAGAAACGGCTCCAGCACACACCACCTCCGGCACTTGCTCTGTGCGTGCACGGAGAAGAGGCAAAGGCAAATATTTTCAGCTACCAGGCTCTTGCTTGGCTTGTGCCGGCCGCTGGTTCCATCTCCAGACCCAGAATCCAAACTTTCCCCTCCTGGGGAGTAGCTCAAGAACCACGGTGGGCAGGCTGACAGGATGTGTGTGCCTTTGAGATGGGGTCTCCTGTGTTGCCAGGTTGATCTCAAGGGATCTTCCCGCCTCAGGCTCCTTAGTAGCTGGGATTCCAAGTGGCACATCATTGTCTCCAACTCCAATGTAACTTTCTTTTTTTTCCTAATATTTATTTTTTAGAAGTAGTTGGACACAATACTTTTATTTTTTTATGTGTGCTGAGGATCCTACCCAGGGCCTCCCAGTGCTAGATGAGCGCTCTACCGCTGAGCCCCAGCACCTCCAATGTAACTTTCACCAAGGGGTGAGGAAAAGGACTGCAAAATACAGTGGTGACTGGGCTGGAGATGTGGCTCAGCGGTAGCGCGCTCGCCTGGCATGCGTGCGGCCCGGGTTCGATCCTCAGCACCACATACCAACAAAGATGTTGTGTCCGCCGAGAACTAAAAAAAAATAAATATTAAAAATTCTCTCTCTCTCTCCTCTCTCACTCTCTCTTTAAAAAAAAAAAATACAGTGGTGACGGGAAACAGTGTGGGATTGGAAAGATCCAGCTGTGGCTCACCCCCTTGGACAGTCACTGAACCTCCTCCTCTGACTAGCCTTGGTCCTCCCCCCGCTCGTCCCTAAATGCTGGCTGGAAGGAGGTCTCTGCTCCTTAGGGCTGTTATGAGACTTCACAGAGAATGCCAGCAAGGACCAGCCCCTGGACCTGGCTGTTACTACTTAGCCGCTGGCCTTCACACCTTATTTATTTATTTAATATTGGGATTCAGCCCAGGGGCCCTCACCCACCGTGCCACACCCCAGCCTTTTTTTTTTTTTTTTTTTTTTAATTTCAAACCTAGAAACAGGGCCTGAGTTGCTCAGTGCCTTGCTAAGTGGCTGAAGCTGGCTTTGAAGTCTCGATCCTCCTGCCTCAGCCTCCTGAGTCAAGGGATTGCAGTGCCACGGCACTCAGCTTCATACCTCATTTAACATTTATGGTGTACGAGGCACACTGAGTTTAAAGGAGAACTGAGTTCCAGGCTTCACTATATTAATTATTACATTAATTCATGGGGCAGTCTTGGATCAGAACATTAGGACTTTCACCCATTACTGTCAGGACCCCCAAGAAAATGTCTCCCGTGGGAGGTTTTGCACAAGCCTGACGCACACACGGTGCTCAGGAAAAGGGAGGCCTCTAACATCAAGGGCAAGCCTTGCTGGTCATCCAGGAGGGTGGGAGGCTCAGCCTGAGTCAGCTTTGTCTGCTCTGCGTTCAGCCACATCCCATGTTCTGCCACTTATCACATCCCTGCCCATTCCCGGTGACAACAGGAACCTGGCTGTCCTGGAATTACAGGAGGAAAGAGTCCTGTGTGAAGAGATTTACCTTACTGAGGCTCCCAATTCTGGAGCTTCTGACCCACTTCCCTGTGAGCCTTCGATGACTCAGCACACCCAGGTCTGCAGGACACCAGGGTCCTTGCAAGTGGGAGCAAGTTGCTCACCTCTGGGCCTCCAGCAGGGGGGGGGGCAGGACCAGTGACCCACAGTCCCCTTCAACACACGGCCACAATGACCTAAACTGTGGCACCAGGCCCCACCTCTTTGAAGTCCCACCAACCTCTCAAGAGTACCAAGATGGGGACCAAGTCTTTAATACACAGGTCTCTAGAAGGACACTTCAGAGCGAAAGAGCTTTCTGGTTCAGGTAATTAAAACAGAAAACTTGGGGCTGGGGCTGGAGAAAAGATAGCCTCTTCCACACACGGAGCTGGGAAAACCGGAAATCCATCTGTAGCAAAAGGAAATTTAAACTCCTAACTCTCAGCACGCACAAAACTCAACTCAAAGTGGATCAAAGCCTCAGGCAGAGAACAGAGACTCTGCACCTAACAGAAGAAAAAGTAGGCCCACATCTCGGCCACGTTGGCTTAGGAACTGACTCCTTCACAACATCTCTCATCCTGAGCTAACTTCAAGGTCTTCCACCTACGATCGATTTCATTTACTCAATTTTAAATTAAATTATTTTATCATTCCCAGCAAGTAATGGAGAACACACTACTTTTAAGGGTCTACAGCCCTCGACTGCTCTTTAAAACCTGAGACATCAGAACTCGCCTTCCCGACATCATGACCTCACTCTTCCCTGACGATGAGCCAACATAAGTGTACTCCTCCCCAGCCCAATGCCTCTCCCCACAGTCCACAGGAGGAGAACCTAAACACCTTTCAATCATCTGTCAGGCCAATGGATACAACAGACTACATGCTGGTTTCCTCTTTGAAAGTTTATTTTTAAAAAAAGAAAAAAAAAACCTATACATTTTTACATTCACTTCTCGGAACATTTAATGGTACCAGCTAATAATGTTTTATAAAAAGCCCACCAGCTGCTTGAAATGGCTGCAATTTTACCATGTTCTGATATTAAAAATGGTTTGAACCCTTTGGGGAAAAAAACGGTATAACACAAAGTACCAAGATGTCAAATCCCAAATGAAACAAAAAATTTAAATAAGGAGAAAATTATTTAGTAAAGATTCAAGGCTAAAAGGAAACATTCAAAGAAAAAAAAATACTGTAAAAAATAAAGTATTCCCCCTGCACCGAGTTAGGTAAAAAATGCAATCAACCCCACCCAGCCCCGTCTATCCCCCTTAGAAAAACCCCCAATCCCGAATACAGACCAGCCCCTGGATCTCACACTGGTCCTAGCTGGAAGTTAGAACTGAGCTGGGCAGGCAGACACCCTCGAACATGGGCACCCGCAGGAACGCAACCACCTGGCTTTGGCATGGCTACAGAAATCTCTCTGGGAACTGTGTAAGAGGACATGGGCTTGGAAAGGAGGGCTCAGGGGAGGGCAGACTCCCAGGCAGAGGGAAAACACACACTGGGGCACCCCCCAGTGAACACTGAGGCCAGCCACCAAAACCCAAGTGCAGCTGCAAGGGCCAAGCTGTGCGCACCACCCTGTCTCAAAGGGTGACCTGCAGGCCCAGGGACTGGAGTCCAGCTGGTGTGCTGAGGTCAGCTGAGACAAAACCCTGTAGGTAAGAACGGCCACCTGGGTGGAAAGCCAGCCTCCTCCTTACACAGGAACCTCGGCTCCACTCCCTCTTTAGCATCCGTCCATCACAGAAGGACCTTGATGTACTAACAGTGTTTATCCCGCCCCTGGTCACCACAGAGGCCTGTCAGAAGGGTCCAACTGCCCATTTTTCACCTCTGAGATGACTAAATAAAAATTAAATCTGGGATTAGGAATATGATTTCCTGTGCTGCATCAAGTCTCCCTCGCCTCTGCCCGTTCTCACCAGATCGTGATTAAGGGCTCAGGACGTGTAGAAGGCAGTGGCCGGGCCGAGACCAGGCCTGTCTCTGTGGGTCTCAGACACCCCAAAAGTGAACAGGAGAGAGAAGGCAAAAGCACCACACCCTGGTCTTCAAATAAATGGTTACTTCACAAAAGCACCCCAGTCAAGGCAAGGACAAAAGGCAGCTGGACGCCTCGGTGCAGAGCCCCAGTGGCCACGGACACGCCCTCTCCGTTAGACACACACTTTGGTACACTGCTCCTAAGGACAAGGGAGGTATCAGCTACAGAAAAGCTCAATGGCCAAACATACTAAATGTATCTGAGTTAGTTTCCATCACAGGGCACCTGAAGATAAAGCACAGCTGCGTGATGGAGATGTCACACACCAGCAGTGAGCCAAGCAATCCTCCTTCAAACCAAAGGCCCACGAGGACAGGTGAGGCCCACGTGCCCTGGGCTGGGGTCACTGCAGTGAATGTCGTAACACTGGGGGGCTGGAGGGCAGGGAAGAAACAGAACATCCAGACAACTTTTCAAAATAGACCCCAACACCAGAAAAAATGATAAAAGTGGATATAAAGACAAAACGGTCTCTGTACAAGTCTTTACTCGGAGTCAGGAGGGTTTGTTCCTTGTGGCAGCTAGAACCCAGAAGGTGACTGATGTCATCATAGCTCCAACTTGCTGTGGGTTTGTACATCAAGAGACAATATGGAGAGGACCCCGGGGACCGAGGCCAAGGGGAATACCCACAAAGATTTCCTAAGATGGGTAAGGTCTAGTCACTGCCCAGGGACGCTGACCGTGGCTCCAATCCCATGTTCAAAACATCTCAAGATGGCTAGACCAGACAACCCCGCCACCCACGGAAGCCTTTCTCCAAACAAGGGAACAAGGGGAAGGAGCAGGGAGCGCAGGGAAGGGTTTCCTGGGGCGCATCAGGACAAGCGCAGGGGTCTGGCCGCGGCCACAGCAGCCCTCCTGTCTCTAAAGCAGACCAGGTCTCCCAAGAGGCTGTGAGTGCCCAGGGCCTGACAAGGTTCCACAGGTGTGGAACGGTCAATCTGCAGTAGTGGCAACAGCAACACGAGTGACGCTTGAGTCACGTGAGTCTACAGATCATCAGCGCTGCACTGTCATCTCCATGCCCCACCCCAGGGACGACCCAGATCAGCTGCCTACGCCATGTGCTCCCTCAATCTACTCAGGAAGTGGGGGGAGAAAGAAATTATGAATAAAAACTTCCGAAATTACCATTTCTCATTCCAGCCCGAGTTGGAACAAATGTGTGTGGATAAATCGCCTGCATTAAATAACGTTTAAAATATGGTAACTTCAGCACATTATGACATGAAATGTCCCTTCCCCCAGCCCCATTTACTTCAACGCAGTCTCCCTGGCAAATGTTCCATAGTTCAGCCAGGGGAATGGATGGCATATGCCAGATGTCACACAGGCATTTCTCTCTCCAAGAAGGCCGAGAGCCAGGAGAATTCATCTCCCTCGCTTCTGGGGAAACAGCGGATGGGGCTCGGCCAGGTCAGTAGCTCTGTGATCCACTAACCAGAATCAAACATGAGAATGCAGCACAGAGTGAATTCCTTCCCACTCTTCTTCATGGCAGAAAGACCTAAAGATAACTACAGGAAGAGCTGTTTCTTCAACCTCAGAGGAGGTCAAAAAAAAAAAAAAAGACAAAGGATAAGCAAAAAAATAAAGAAATAAAAAGAAACTAAATCAAACACCCTAAATACTCCTGAAAATGAGCGTTCCCTGGTGACTGCTGACTGGGAAGAAGCTGAGGCAGGGAAGAATGACACATAGGTGGATGTGACCAGCCACAGAAGTGCCCCACAGAATCCACACAGTGTTCTTCATTTCCAAGGCCAAGTAGTTATTCCCAGTAAGTTAAAACTTTTCTATTAAGAAGTAAACAAAACAAAAATAAAAGCCACTGCAGAAAAAGGGTCAAGGGCAGAGAGCTCTGCGGGAGGTCAAGCCGCTGACCGCCGGCGAATCACGAAGAGCCCGCGCTGCAGCTGGCCCAAGTAGATCCTCATCTTGGTGCTGTCACTGGTCTTCCTCACCCAGATCTGCAGGGACAGGAGAGAGCAAGGTGAGAGGCTGAGAGACGCTGAAGGGAAAACCTCCCAGGCATTAAAATAGCTGCATGAATTAGGTATGGGCAGAAAACTGGCCACCCCAGCCTGAGTGAGCTTGTCCTTGACCACTATAAAGGCGCGCCTCCAGACAGGGAGCAGGTAATAGCCCTGAACTTATTTCTCCCCACCATCTCCCCCACACTCTGACAAAGAAAATGAAAAGCACAGCAATCCTGGGTCCTCTTTTTGCCTGGACTACAAGGACTCTTGATTAGGTTTGATTACAGCATTATCAATACACAAGAGACACACAGTGAAAATAGACCTTTCAAATCTGGAAATACTTTTCCTCACCCCATATCATACACTCTCTCCGTACTCTGGGGTCTTGACAATTAAGGCTAACAATGAAGGTTACTGTAGGGGAACAAAATGCCATCCATAAAAGGTGTCCCTGAGGCATCTGGGCCCAGCAAGGCCTCTGAAGAGTGGAGAGCTTCAGACAGGGTATCCCTCCCGCAGCCTCCACCTTCTGCAGGTGGACTCCGACTTCCCTCGTCCACAGGATAGCTGCATTCTTCTGTGGACTTGGGAATGAACTCTTGCAGCAGGGGGACTGCCAGAGCTGACAAGTGCACTCAGTAAGTGGCCTCCTGTAGCCAGGGATGGGGAGAGGAGCTGCCACTGCTGTCACCTGAGCAAGCAAGGAAGGGCTACCGGCGCTCACTATGCCACTGCGCCAATCCTACTCGGCTGCTTCCCCTCAGTCCTGGAAGGAAGCAGCACTGCTGTGGGCCCCATTTTGCAGAGGAGAAGACCAGGTTCAGCAAGGCGGAGCTGCCTGTCCCCATGTGACGCTGGTGCTTGATATCACAGCCCTGGCTGTTCTCCACAAAGCCTGCTCTCTGAAGGAGCAATTAAGTGGAGCTGAAAGCACCATGTTTTGAAAGGTCTGCACCTCAGCCATACGTAGAAGTTTATAAATGGATCTCCTTCCCCGACTAGGGTCTCAGGTTTTTAAAAAAGCATATTCTCAGCTTCATCTCAACTTCTTCAATGTGATTATTAAACACAAGAGAGAGGCTTTAAAGTCAAACACACTTTAAAAATGAAACAAGTTGGGCTGGGGATATAGCTCAGAGGTAGAGCTCTTGCCTTGCATACATGAGGCCCTGGGTTCAATTTCCAAACCAGGTTTAAAAAAAAAAAAACAGGCACAGTGTCACCCACCTATTACCCCAATGACTTGGGAGGCTAATATAGGAGGACCACAAATTTGAGGCCAGCCTCAACAACTTAGCAAGACCCTGCTTCAAAAATGCTGGGGATGTAGCTCAAGGGTAAAGCACCCTTGGTTCAATCCCTAGTACCCCCAAAATAAAAAAAAAATTTTTAAAAAGTGAAGCAAGTTAAAGATTTCACATGAAGCTGAGATTCTAAACGACCTTGAAGAACCATTTTAAACTGAAAACTGACTCCACAGAGGGCTGAACTGGCAAGGTCACCAACACATTCAGACTCACCCACCAAACCTGCCCAGAGCTGAGCAATGCAAAGCCACAGAGCTCAGTGTCATTTAGGCTTTGGGCTGAGAAGCTGAAACACTTCTAAGCAGAGGATGTGAACCATTCCCACCATAAGAGTCACACACCTCCAACGCCTGAGGCCTCTCCCCTCCAGGACACAGCTGCAGTGCTACTACTCCGTCAGACCTTACCGTCACTCCCTTGTGACACAAAGTGCCAATCCTGAACAAGGGATAGGGTGTCAAACCTGAATTTCTATTTTTCTTGAGGCATCACAGAAGAGAATAACAGACTGGTTCTGAAGCTGGGCTTGGGACCAGGAAGCCACATGTGCTTTCTAGCTCACCCGGCCAGCCAGGGACAAATGCTCTGTAAAAGTGGTGACGCCCTTGGACAAGGAACACTAGGCCTCTATTAGATGTCCTGGTTCTGGTTTGGCTTGGCTTGGGCGAATCTCACAGATTCTGAGCCCAAAGAAGAATGACATTCACTTATCTGGAAGGCTCTGCCTAACTTCTAAGTAAATAATCATTTTGCAAACTAGTCACATTTGAGGGCATTTTCAATTCAGAAAACTGGGAGAATACAAGAGGCTTAAGTTATTTCATAATCCAGTTTCATTAGATTTACTGCGCATTGGCAGGAATAAGTTACAGAGAGTGGACGTGTGAAAATCAATTTCTTTGCAGACATCTGTGCTTGATAAGAGATCAAGCCAATCTAGCTATTAAAGTTTTCAACTTTTTGTTAACTACCAACAAGACAGACACTGTCAACATCCTCTTAATGAAGGGCCAGGAGAACTCACAGGCAGCCATGACATCCTCGGGTATTGACCACATAACTAAAACTGGACCCGATCCTGCTGAGTGTCTCAAGGAGACCAACAACCAAGGGCACAAGCCTGGCAGCCTGCTGTTCAGAGACGCAGCAGGACACCTCAGGAGGCTACCAGGCAGGGAGCTACATGCTGGCTGGACCAGCACCAACGTATTGAGCACTTAACTCAATGCTGGCCCCTGTGCATTCTCCTATTGAGAAACAAACCTGTTGGTGTATATCAAAGTCCTACAGAGGCAGCAACACAGAGACGGAGTAAGTGGCACGGCCTGGTCCGTTCTCAGTGGATGACAACCTTAGAAAGCAGCCACAGATGAACACACTTGCCCTGCTCAGTCTAGCTCGGTGGCTCCCAAATCCATCACGGCCTGGGGAGGTCACCAGCACCACCAGGAAAACACAAGGTCGCAGGCACCCTCACAGCAGGCGGAAGGCATTTTTCAAGGGTGTTTCTGACTGTGCGTAATTTCTGCCTGAAAGTGCTGACCTCAGAAGCTCGCTCACATGAGACGTCACTTCACCGTGCTTTGTTGGTGGCACCTTCATTTTAGGTTTGTCATATTTTCCACACTTCAAAGAGCTCATTTGTCTTTCCTCAGGGTGCAGAAATTCGCCCTACCTCATTGGCTCCGACCGAACTGATCACGCAGCTCAGTTTCTGGTTGTCCTTTGACTCCAGATAGATGGCCTGGCTCTTGTGGTACCTGCCAAAAACAGGGCACAATGTGAAAAGGGCGGGTGGACAGGGGAGACAAAACAAAACGCTATCACTGTAAGAAATGTAATGCAGGAGTCCACAGAATGACTCGAGAGCCTGGATTCCAGGTGTCATTTACAGACTTCCATCCTTGGATGGGGTGACCTCCTAATCTTCTGGATCTAAAACTTAAGTTCCTTGGCCCCTCTGAAAAGAGGAAAGGGGGATGAGGAAAGGGTCAGAATATAATTTCCTTTTTTGATTTGGACTATATAACCCAGTTCAAAAAGCAAAATAAAAATTTTGAGGTAAAATATCTCTGTTCCCACTTTATAGTGATAGAGAGGCAGAGTGACTTTATTTTGTTTATTTTCTTGTGGTGCTAAGGATCGAACCCAGTGCCTCACACTTGTTAGGCAAACTCTCTGCCACTGAAGTACAGCCCTCTGTTCCCACTGTCTGGACAAAATAAATACATGGGCTTAAACATCTGTCATTTATTTTGTATTTGTCCAAATTAGTCATCAACAAGAAGGTTGGATGAACTCAGCCCTTCTTTAGTCATTCATTCAAAAGTAATCATTAAGGGACTGGGGTCGTGGCTCCGTGGTAGAGCGCTTACGAGCATGTGTGAGGCCCTGGGATAGACTCTCAACACCACATAAATAAATTAGATAAAGGTATTGTGTCCATCTATAACTAAAAAATATATTTAAAAAAATTTTTTTAATAAATGAATAAAATAAAGGTACAAACATTTTAAAAAGTATATATTAAAAAAAATACTCATTCAGCTCTGACTATGCAACACTGACTATGCCAGAGGATGGGGCAGACAGTGCATGGGCCTCAGGTCCCTGCTGTCACAGAGCTTCAAGTACAGTGGGAGAGGGAAGATCAAGTGCCACACCTGCAAATGCTCATTAGGTGAAGTGCCCGGTGTCCTGACATTTGCTAAGGGACCCCGATCTGGCCCAGACAATGGGGAAAGCTGCTGTGAATGGAATAGGTAAGGCACATGCCCCCATTCCGGTCCCCACCATTACTCTCTTGGCCTACTGTCGCACAGGGCCACTTCCAACTGACGGACAAGGCCGAGGATGGAAGGTACGAAGCCTGGACCAAACCCAGCAGGACAACGGGGTGGAAGAGCAGCCACCAGACTGCAAGAGCTGGATATATCAGCTGACCCGCTGCGGGCAGCCCTGCCCAGGGCCGGCTCCACTTGAATCAAGAACATAATCCTGGGGCTGGGGATGTGGCTCAAGCAGTAGCGCGCTCGCCTGGCAAGCGTGCGGCCCGGGTTCGATCCTCAGCACCACATACAAAACAAAGATGTTGTATCCGCCAATAACTAAAAAAATAAATATTAAAAAAATTTTCTCTCTCTCCTCTCTCACTCTCTTTAAAAAAAAAAAAACAAAACATAATCTTTGGTTCATGCTGGCTACATATGTCCAGCTAAAAAGATCCACAAATTCTTGTACATTCCACCAAAACTCATCTCCCAGCAGAGCGCTGTCTTCTTATCCCTCTGGAGGAAGAAGGCAGATTCTGTTTTGCTGGTATAATGAAATAATCTACTGCCAAGCTATCTCAGTAAAGGCTGTACTTCTCTCCCACAGTGAGCTCTTTCCAATCTAGGTTCTAAGTGCTCTTTAACCTGCTACTTAAGAGCTGAAAACTCAGGTTTCCAAGTCAATTCACTTTCTGAAAACATTGTTAAAAGAAAATAAATCATAAATGCAATTACAACAGTGAGACAGGGTGAGATCAAAGACATAAAGTTGCCGTTGGCCATGTATTAGTTGGTAAACTGGATCAGAGGACCTTCGTTATGCTAAACAGTTAATATCACAAGATCAAATTATACAATGCATGAGGAAAGGCTGAATGATCCACAACACAAAAACTTCCCTTGGTTTCTTTCCCACATTTAAGCCAACTCTCATGCGTAAACAGCATTGTCTTGAATTATGGTTTGAATAAAAATCAGAAGAATACTCAGTTATCCTATGCAGATTATGAGGTACTAAAGAGAAACACATAACAACATGCAACTAGCCTCAAGCCATTCTGATTCTACTTTCTCAACACTTTAATGAAGAAAGGTCAAGGGCTGGGGGCCTAGCTCCATGGTAGAGCCCTTGCCTAGCATGCATGAGGCCAGGGTTCAACCCCCAGCACCCCACAGTACACACACAGAAAGGTCATGGTAAGGAGGAAATGTGCTCAATATAAAGCCAAGTGAAAAAAAAAGTCCCCTTTGTTCCTTTGTTTGTAATAAAACACACGTTTGACGTGCACTCTATACACAAAGAAAAAAATGGTAAATTTATAAATTAAAATGTATATTAAATGCATATAAAAATGTAACACTAAATGAAGAATGTTATTTTTTTATGACATGACTTTCTTTTTCCTAGGATAAGCAAGTGTTATTTATATTTAAAAAAATAATATAAGTTATGGTATTAGAAACAAATAAGATGGATGAGGAAAAAAAAATGTTAGGAAACTCTGTCAAACAGTTAATTCTGTAACACCATTCAAACAGTTCTCAGGAGACGTGTTGTATTTTCCTTCAATTATGCTTAGAACCCAAACATCTAACACCCTCATCGGTGAACATCAGGAGTGAAGGTGGCAGCGTGGCCGACATCTCTGGTCTCTTACTCCACGGTGGTGCTTGGCCCACCAGCACGCTTCCTAGACCAGCCAACTTCCAAATCAACTGACCCGCAGTCTCCAGGACATTCGGGGGATTCTCATGCACCACACTATGGTCTCTGGGAATCATTAACCCCAGATAGCAAACCTATTCAATTATTTGAATTCTCTGAAAATTCTAGGGTTTTTAAATATAAACCAAAAAAAAAAAAACAAAAGATAGCCTTAATGTATAAATTTACTTAAACTAATAAAGGGGGAAACAAATTCAAAATAAATTTAGAAAAAAATGTTAAAAAGCAGTATCAATAGAACTAATTTAGTGAAAATGTACGTCTTCTCTTGCCAGTTAGCCCATTTTACACGATACAACTCACTTGCTTGGAAAAAAAAAAAWTTTTAAACAACCTCAGAGAATAGAACCTAAATGTCAAATTGACTTTATTACTAATGAAAATTCTGATCTGGGAATCCCAACAATTAAGCTCTTGAAGCTCTGTGCCTCTACTATTAAACCCAACGAACTAGAATGACTACCACTATTTTTAAAGAAAGCAATTTCTTTAGCAGGTAGATCTGAAAGTGGAGCAAGGTGGGAAGTAATTGGATTCTGAATCTACGAGCAATCCTGACATTAACACTTCACTTCCCACAACTGAATCCACATCACAGCTATAGAACCTCCAGGGGTCCCAACGCCTGTTGGAAATATTCACTGTTCGGAGTTAACATTCTTTTTTGTCAGCTGAGAGCTGGAGGGTGAAATCTACTTGAGCAAGTGGTGACTTCATTTATGATTCACATTAGCAGCTCCAGCACCAGCAGTTAGCTATTTAAAATAACAGCTACTCCACAATATCTCCTGAGAGGGGTCATTAGCCCAGATCAAAATGGGAGGCAAAGGCCTTAATCTCAACTGAAGATCAGGCAAACAGAAGATGCTTATCTTTCAAAATGAAAGGTAGCTTGATAAGTGTTCATGCCAAGATGGGAAGCCTGACTCAAGACTTATTTTGCTAAAATAAACTCAATGAAACATGTTTTGCCAAAAATACCGTTATACCAAAATATGTCATGTCACTGGACACAGCATGCAGGAAATTCACCTGATCTCTCCACCATGGGCTGTGTCTGCAATAAAGATAAAAAAAAGGATACAAAAGCCCTGTGAAAGCTTTGGCCAGGACCCCAGGAATCCTTTCAACAAGTCTCAGGGAAGAGAGGGACTCATCATGAACTCTGACTCCCAAGGCCAAAGAAGAAAAACACACAGAATAATGAAGAAAACAACATTCCCAAAATATATTTAACAGCAGAATGAGTAACTAAAAATTCACTGAAAAAGTAAAACACTTCCAGAGACATTATTCTGCAAATGTCTTCTGCTAACATGAGCAGGGTGGTGAAAATTCCTTCACACTGCTTAGTAGTTCTGACACATCATCAAGCCCAATCACTTTGTTTACATTATGAAACACCAGTCACTGGAAATCTTTGCCAAAAAAAAAACACCAAGCATTTTATTTTACTGCATCTTTACCCTCAGGACACATCTCATAAAGTCGTAAGGATTAAGTCAAAAAAGAGAAGGATCTGAAGCAACGTAATTATAAAATGAACATCATTTGAAATATCACATGGCTTTAAGACTCATAGATCCATAAAAATGTTAGTGATAAATCTCATCATTTTCAAAGGCAGTTCCTATATGTGGGCTTGATCTTTAAAGGTTATTTGGTTTTCATTATTAGAAACATTTTTCATCTGATCTTGACCGACTGTGATGAGCAGCCAGGGCCTGCCACCTAGTGGTGATATGTTCTGATGAGAAACCTTAAGATACCACACCAACTGAAGAATGCCCAAGAACAGCCAAATTACAGGGGCAGAAGTCACCAAGGTCAGGCTTACAGACAAAGCAAGCCTCCATCATCTGCTAGGTAATTGACTCACTGTTATTTACTAGGTGGAAATGATTTATTTCAGGCATGACCAAATCTCCAAGCATTTCTGAAGAACACTTAACCCTCTGGTTCTGCAGGTTCCACACCCGTGTTTCAATCAACTACAGATCAGAAATATTTCGGGGTGGGGAGTGGGGGGGACGACAACAACACTGTGTATGGAATGAACATTTTTTGGGGACGACAACAACACTGTGTATGGAATGAACATTTTTTGGGGACGACAACAACACTGTGTATGGAATGAACATTTTTTGGGGACGACAACAACACTGTGTATGGAATGAACATTTTTTGGGGACGACAACAACACTGTGTATGGAATGAACATTTTTTTTCTTGTAACAATACATTGTAACAACTACTTTCACAGCATTGATATTAAGTATTATAAGTGATCCTGAGAAGATTTAAAATATACAGGGGGAAGGATTTAGGTTATATGCAAATTCTATAGTACTTGATTTAAGAGACCTGACCATCTGAGGGGGTTCCTGGAACCAATCCCCCCGTGGTTAAAGAGGAATGTGTATTCAATATTGTATTGTGATCAACTAACATAAAGCAACATAAAACTCAAAAAAGTTGCCAGGCATGGTGGTGCTTACCTATAACCCAGCTCAGGAGCTGAGACCCTAAGCAACTTAGCAAGACCCTGTCTCAAAGCACAAAATAAAAAGTGCTAAGGATAGAGCACCCAGGGTTCAATGCCTAGTAACAAACAAACACAGTCAAAAAAGTCAAAACAACCACTATCCTGATCTTTGGAACTTTTGGCTACACAAAAGTATTAAAACTCGGCATTATTACTAGCCATTAAAAATGATAACTACAGAGGGCACAGAGGGACTGAGAAAAAGACTCTCGACATAACCAACTACAAGATACCTATAACCTGAGCTGAGTAAGAGGCTATCTGCAGAGGGACAACAAATAGGAAGAAATATTGTCTCCGAGTCAAAAGAGCCGAGAAGATGGCAGGGCCCAGGGTGATCCAACGCCCAGCGGACACCTCACACAAGGCTGGCTGAATGAATAAATGCATGAGCTCTTAAGGTTCTACGCTTATTGCTTTGCCATTTCCTTTCCAATGAAAAACACTGGCAGTCTAAAGGTTTCAACAGTCTTCAATCTAAATTTTAGGATACAATTCCCCCCAAGAAAGTTTCCTGGAACACTTTGGCAGCAGGATAATGCATGAGAAAACAGTACAGCTGTCAAATAAAAACCACCCAATAACATCTTGGAAATTCACAGCGCACATTAGCATGTGACAAGACCCAGAGAGTGCGATAAGAAGGGAACTCATTTATCTTAATTAACATGATCATCTCTAAACTGATATGACCACAATCTTTTATCCACAGAACACCTATTAACCTTAGCACATAGGACCAAAGTTAACAGGAGGCAGAACAGAACGCGTACCCTGGCTCCACGGGCCAGGGACACCGCAAAAAAAAAAATTAGGCTTCAAATTCTAGTGTGATGACAGCAGCACAGAGAGGAAGGGACCGCCACCCACATTTTGGGAAACAGTCTTCAGAAACCTAACAGAGGTCTATCAAACGGCTGGTGACACACAGGACGAAAAGTGGAATCCCATTTAAAAATTTAAGTAGCAGGCATGCTCTGAAACCACCACAGGAAGCCCCAGAATGGCTCTTTGGAGTGGTCCCTGTTTTCTCATGACTTACCATCTCTTATCATAATACAGTTTACCATCTTCTATCCGAGCCTCAAATCTCTGGGCTGGAGACTCCGCAGGGGTCGCAGGCAAGTGTTCAGGAGAGGATGGGGATGCTAGAGGAGTCAGAGACAGTTAAATGACTAAGCGTGCAACAAACATGTACGTCCACCAGCTACCATCCTTTAACTGAGACACATTAGGGTGTGGTGATAGTCATCACCATCAAAGTTCTTACAGTGATAACTCCTGGGAATTAAACACACACACAAAAAAAACATTTTAAAGAGATGGGGTCTCACTATGTTGCCCAGGTTAGAGTACAGTGGCTGTTCACAGGCGAGACCCCAGTACTGATCAACATGTGCACTCCTGGGAGGTCACCACATTGATGCAGACCTTAGTGTGGACACCTGATCAGCACAAACAAAATTCTTATACATCACACCAAACTTTGTCCTCAAAACATTCCCAGAGACAGGCAGGGCACAGATTAACCTCACTGAACAGAGGAGAAACTGGAGGCTTAGGAAGGCCAAGGTCAAATGCACCAATGCACAAGACCACTTAGAGGTGGATTAAATCCTATTGACCATCAGAAGCCCAAAAGAGCAAGTATCATGACAATCTCTTAAAAATTAAATTATTTTTAGAGATAAAGTAGGTTTAAATGATCTAAATGTACATACTTACTCACATAACCCTCCCCATCATGCCTCAGAAGCTCAGGACTTCTCTGTGGACTACAGGGGCCCACAGGAAGACATTATCTAGAGAAAGAAGAATCTGGGTTTTTCTTCCACAAGACTAAGTAGAGGAACGTGTGACTTATCACAGCACTTAGTATAAGAAAAGACATTGCTAACTTAGAATTCCAGTTTGCAACTAGCATTGACTCTCATGTGCTGCTCTGGAAGGAATCACTGTGAACAGTGACTGGGCCTTGGCCTCGTTTATACCTAGGGACTTGGCACAGCCTTACCAGAGAACCAGGCCATGAAAAGTCACTGGTATAGCAATATCTAGGACTTAATTCCAGAAAGTAAGGAATACTGAAAAATTCTCTGGTATCAATTTCAAAACTGGAAACTTTAATCTCGTGCCTAATGCCTACACAGAAGGAAACCTTTAACAGCTGATCAAATGTCTATTTTCATAATAAATCCCAAGGAAAAGACAAAAATAACAGGTTGAAAAAATAAAATAAAGCGGGGTGAAGTACACTTAAGATTCCCTTCAATTTCACTCACAGGCAAATGACAAACACTTTACTTCTGAAAATTGCAACAATTCCCTGACAGGTATTCACATGCTTTTCCAACAACATGATAAAAAGATTGTACAAACGTCAATAACATTAAGCACTTACCTGGTCTCTTGGGTGACTTAAGCTGTAGGAAGAACAACAACAAAAAAAATCTTAGAGAAAATCATTTGGATAACTGTAGGTGTCAGGGGCATAATGACTTAACAAGGATCATGTGAACATAGTGAAGAAACCATGTCAAGCCTGAGCTTTCAAATAAATGAATAAAACTGTACCTTATTTAATGTTCTCAGATCCTCCATGATCTGTTCGTCTGTTAACAAATAGTTTAGCTGAGGTGTTGAGAGTTAATGGAATGCATCCGAACATGTATGGTTTCCAAGGAAACAGAAATCAACAAACTGGTACCAGTAGTTCAGAACTGACAAGGTATGACTATTCAGAATGACATTTTTGCAATAACTTATTTCTCAGAAAGCTGACTCTCCAGCTAAATGTCATGGTGACCAAGTATATTAAAGAATTCACACACCCCACCTTACAAACTACTAGCAGGAGGTAGAATAAGACTCATCAGGTCTCTACAACAACAGCGAGAGCACAGAAAATAGAAAACAACTGTGTCCCAAATTTATAAAGTGCTTTTGTTCCAAATATCTGGAGACTTATACACACACACACACACACACACACACACACACACACACACAGATTAGTTTTCCACAGCAACTAAAATTCTGTTTTAAAGGTGAAGGAACCTGAAGTTATGTCCTTTCCTGGTGGCAGACAAGTGAAATGACCAAACCATTCTGAAAAAACATCCATTTATAATCTCTTTTGGGGGAGGCGAGGGAGAGTACTGGGCATTGAACTCAGGGGCACTCGACCACTGAGCCACATCCCCAGCCTTTTTCTGTTATTTTATTTAGAGACAGGGTCTCATTGTTGCTTAGCATCTAGCTGTTGCTGAGGCTGGCTTTGAACTGGTGATCCTCCTGCCTCAGCCTCCCTAGTCACTGGGATTACAGGAATGAGCCACACTCCTGTAATTTATTATCTCTTGAATAGAAAAAAACACTTTTGTTCATGTGTCCCATTCTCATTAACCATTTTTAAAATTAAAGAACTTTGTTCTTTTAATTGTTGATTAAAATATCATTGCTTTCATTTAAAATCAGTTTGCAACTCACTATTTTAGGGATGAAGTAACTGAGATACCCAAAGTCTGATACTACTGTCCTCATTTGACAGGTAGAAAAATTAACACACATCAAGTTTTCAACTGCCCTTGAATCTTGAAGTGTTAAAACCAGGTTCAACATCAGACATAAAGTATCTTTCCAAATGATACCTTGGTATAAACATCTCCCACTAAAAGAAGTAGCAGCTGAGGACTCCAATATGGCCAGCCCTTGACCCAGTCATAAAAATTTTACATATGCTTTTCCACCAAATATTTTTTTCTGCAGGACAATGCCCACATATACTCTATCAGATGGATCAATAAGAGAGTCAATAGTCTTAAGGGAAAAAGAAGTGATTGAAACTTGAAGCAAATGGATATCAGGAGCAGGTTTTCTCCTCTTGTCTGGGATGGGGACAGGATCATTTGGTCGCCTCCGCAACTTTCTGGTCATGATAGGTTTCACTTCCATAGAATCTATGGCAAAAACGGAATGGGTCAATATATCCAATTCCCACTGGAGGTCAGTAAGAATTCCTACAGTGTAAGAATATCTGCCCTAGGCCACCCAATCAGAATCACTTTACTTCAGATGTCCCGTCTACACCTGGCCCAAGCCAGACACCCACATCAGACTTTAAAGAAGGTCTGTGCATATGAAATTCAAACCAGCAGTACTAGGTCCACATCCCTCCCAGAAATCCAGCCCTGGAGTCTAACATTATGGCCACTGTAGAAATCTCCCCAGCACCCTCAAAAACTAGGGGTTATGCGGCTGGGGCTGAGGCTGTGACAGAGCGCTTGCCTAGTATGTGTGAGGCACTGGGTTCGATTCTCAGCACCACACACACATAAACAAAATAAAGGTCAATCGACAAAAAAAAAAAAAAAAAAAATCTAGGGACAATTGCTCCTCTCAAATTAGGAAGCCAGAGTTGTGAACTCTTGGGAAGAGGAACCTCACCATCACCTCACGGGACTGATTGCCGCTGTTCCCAGAGGGTGGATGCGCACAGCCACTAGCACAAAAGGCTCTTTTAAGGCCACTGGCCTCGATGCCAGCATTTTTTAGTAAGTCTTTATTTACAAACTTAAAACTTTTTTCTTTTATAACCTTTGATGGCTACTTGACTTCAAAAATGATACAATGAAGGCACATTACAAAGACTCTTTTCACTCTTCTTGACTTTCTGACAGGCCTTCTCTCTTCTCCCAGACAAGAAGATATGGGCCTGCTCAGTAGTCCCTCCTGTGACCTGCTCATTCCCTCTCCCCAGTACCAGGGCATTTGTGCAACCCTCCAGCGCACCAAGTGCCACACCATATGGAACTTGCTCCCCGTCAGATGCTGGGATTCCACCACAGCATGAAATCCGTCTCCACCCCAGCACCTAGCAATAATCCTGGCACACAGCAGAGTCGGCACAAAGTCTTCTTCAGAATGATCAGAATGATCATGAGATAAGGGTGCAGGGCCTTAAAAGTAAGGCGTCAAAAGCATTTCAGCATGCTGCTCTTCAAAAGAAATGGGTGCCACTGAATTATTTCCTGTAGTGGAATGGAGGTGATATAGGAACCCTGGCCTAATGAGATGGGGGAAGAAGGAAGAGGATGCGCACCCATACCCCTGGGGAGGGGGAAGCTTTCTTCCTAAAAGAAAGTCCTTTCTCTCTGTTCAGATGCCACCTTTCTCCTCTTACTCACTCGCTGGCTGGTGGCACAGCACCGTCACAGGAGCAGGGCTACCACCCTAAATGGGCTTGAGACCCTGGAGCAGCCAAGCACCCAGAAGCGGACTGTGTAGATGCTCCACGTCCCCAGCCCCCTCATCCAGAGAATGGAAACACCAGCACATCCTCCCTCGTGGGGCACCGTGACGACTGCATGAGAGGACACAGGAGAAGCCCTGAGCACAGTGCCTGAGGTGACAAGAACTGAAAGGAGGCTGGCTCTTCTTATCATATTTTCAAGGAGGAAAAAACTACAGAGGTCTTTTTTAAAAGACAAGGTGCAAACAGTCAAACAGAAGCCACCCACTACACCAAGCAGCAGTATCCACTGTGAGGCTTGCAACACGCAGACCTAACTTGGAAACCAAAGTATGAAAAGAACCCAACCCAAGAGCGAGCCAGAGAAAGGAGGAGGAAGCCCACGAACATTAGGGAACATCCTGTCCACCAGAGAGTGGCCGAGTGCACCCTGCTCTGCGGGCTGCCCAGACTGCAGCGTGGGGAGGGGTGGGCGGCACCCAATGGAAAGAAGCCAAGAGAAACGGGGAGCCGAGGGGACAGCAGTTCAATCAGGCCACTAAACTCAGAAAATCATAACGGCATCAGGCACAAACCAGAAAATACAATCAAATTCTTCTTGTAAAATGTGAAAATAGATCCACTGAATTAGCCTGGTCATGGCAGTGACCTGAAGAATTCCATACAAGACTACCCCTGCAGAACCAGGGTGCTCTGGAGAAGCCCTAAAATCCATCAGCAAGTCTCTCACACCACCTAGGAAAGGGGGGACAGCAGAAGGCAGTGCTGGCCGGTGGCCATGAGGAATTGATTAATGGAGAGAGCAAGCTACGCATCACAACTCCAATAAGGCACACTCCACCAAGTCACCTTGCTCCAATCCCAGCTTTGCTTAGTTGGCTTTGAAATTTTTCAAAAAAGGAGAGGGGCTGGCCTGGCCAGCAGGGCCTGAATCTATCTGTCAGTTCTATTTCTACTGTAGGCAACAGAGGGCTTACTGAGTTTACAATACCAGCCTCCAACGAGTTCAAGAATCAAGAATCTTAGGGGTTCAAGCTGAGGACACTGATGAAACTCCAGCTTCCAAAAGTGAAGCTCAGATCCTGGACTCTGACCACCCTGGAGAAGATCCCTGAGCAGGGAATTTCAGACACCGAGCACCAACCCCAAAACACCTCCAACTGGCCAAAATTAAAAAGTGTCTCTGATCCAGAGGACTCTTCAAAGATCTGCTTGAGAGGGGATACTATCTGTAGAATCCCACAGAACATCTAACAATCAAGCCAGTCTTGGGGGAAGTTTATGTGGGAACCATTCCTCTCCACACTACCCCATAAAGGACCTTTAATAGCACAACTCCTAGAGCTCTGCTCACCAGAAAACCTGAAAAACACGGGCATCCCGACACCCACCAGGGTAGCACCGGGCCTGCCTGCTAAGAAGCGGGAGCACAGGTTGGATTAGAGGAAGGCAGTCATCACAACACAGAGATCCCTGATGATCATTTCCTGCAATTGACATGTGATTACCAATTTACCGACTGGCCTCTTGTTCTGCACTTTCTTAGGCCTGTTCACTCATTTCCAACAACTCACCTGCCTACAGCATTCAACTGCAATAAAAGCTTCATTTTAATACAGCCTAACCACTAAAACAAGCTCCTACGGACCTCACTCAGGTGGAATCTGAAGAAGCTGATCTCAAGAAGCAGCGTAGCGCAGGGGGAGGGCATCACCAAGCTCCAATTGGACAGGGGAGTAAGTTGGGGTCCTACTGCACAATAAGGTGTCTACAATTAACAATATTATATGGAGTATTTCAAAACAGCTACCAGAATGTCAGATTTTAAATGTTCTTTACCCAAAGGAAAGACAGTGTGAGTTGATGGACATGCTTATGACCTGATGTGAGAACTACCCAATGTCAATGTATGTATCAAAACATTCCTGCGCCCATAAGCATGTACAATTACGTGTAATTAAAAACAAAAATTTAGGAAAAAACAAGCTCATATCTGTTCAGCTATTGGGGGGAAAAAGAGCGGCAGTGATTCAAAGAAGGATCCATAAGAAACAAGATGTGTATGGTAGGAAAAAAAGTCACTGCAAGCAAACCTGCAGCCGATTGGCAACCCCTCCAAACCAGGGGCATCGCAACACGGGGCCAGTTTGAGGCCCAGCACAACCCTGGCCCTCGACAGGCTCACCCTGGGGTCACAAATCAGTGCTGCCGTGGTGGAGACAAACGGGAGGTGAGAGCATGCAATGACCATCCAGGTCAGGAGCTGGGCATGGTGGCACCTGGCTGCAATCCCAGCAGGATGGCAAGTGTGAGACCAGCCTAAGCTACTTAGCATGACCCTCAGCAACTGAACAAGATCCTGAATCAAAATAAAAATAAAAGGGCCATGGATGAGCTCAATGGTGGAGCACCCTTGGGTTCTCATTCCCCAGGGTCAAAAAGAGAATCAAGGTCAGCTCCTTGCAATTCAAATCGGAATAGGAATTAAAGGACCAACCTCCATTAGGCCAAAGTTGCCCACAAGGAAGGAATGACAATTAAAGAGCGAACCAACTGAGCCCTCCTTCTTACGTCTCAACCACCTGAACACCCTGAATTCCACAGTCAGCATCAGAAAGAATGTTCCAAGGAGAACCCACCCCATCCCAAATCCAAATCTCTTCCTCCCTTCTCCCTTGCCAGGTATTGTGCAGGACCTCGTCCCCTGGCCTTGACTCAGGGCGCTCCTCACTGGCATCTCTGTGTACTGTAGGAGACTCTCCTTCTGCACAGTCCAGCCACACTACCTTACAGTTTTAAAATCACTCGGTCAAATCTTTACCTTCGTTTGGGGGCCCTCTCTCTCCAAACCACCTTACGCTGGGAAAGACGTGGAGGCTGTGTCGGTTTTATAACTATCAGAACATAAGCCCCTTGAGTACAGGGACCTTACCCATCAGCCAAATTCTGTGATTCACTTACTATCACATGTACTGTTACCAGGAAAAGTCAGTATAATATGGTGGTTAAGAGAATCCACTTGCAGCCAGACAAATCCTGGCTTCAGCACTACGTAGCTCTGTGGGGGACTGAGCAAATGGCTCCACCTCTGAGTCAGCTCTGCCATCTGTAAACTCAGGATGACGACACCCAAGTAGAGCTACCCAAACTAAATGGGTTGCACTTCCCAAGTCCTGCCAGCCACTTTCCCAAGCACACCTCACCTCCTCTCTGGCCCTCTCCCCATAACAGGTTCTATCACCTCTTTGCTGAAGGAGGAACTCCCACTTCAACTAAGTTAGTAGACAAAGCCAGGATCCCCCAGGTCTGTCAGCCTGCGGCGGTAGGTAGCTCTAAGGTTTTTACACAATGCCTCACTGGATAAGTGCTCAGAAAATGAGACTTCTAATTTGACATCATAATGAGTCATGTACTAGTTATGAATCTAGTATTTTGCGGGGGGTGGGGGCAGTTCTGGGGGTGAACTCAGTGGTACTTGAACCACTGAGCTATATGTCAGTCCTTTCTTTCTTTCTTTCTTTTTTTTTTTTGAGACAGTCTTGCAAAGTTGCCCAGGCTGATCTCAAACTTGCAAGCCTCCTGCCTCAGCCTACTGAACGGCTGGGATTACAGGTATGCACCGCCATGCCTGGCTAAATCCAGTTTTTTCCAAAAGAAACTCACAGGCTTTAATGAGGTTTGAGTAGCTTCCACAGGGGCCTCAGGGTTCAAAGAAGTCCCTGGTGAGCAAGAACTTACAACAGAAAATGAAGTGGCAGTTAGCAAGCTGTTGGAAGAAGGGAGAAAAGGAGACCGACCACTCTATGACAAGAAGAAAAATGAATTAAGTATGACACTCACATTTCAAAGTTCATTAGGTTCTCATTGATTGAGTGGGTTACTTATAATCTTGGCCTCTACATTAGAGAAAACTCACTCTCAGGTAATTTTATCTACAAACTCACTACTCAAAGTGTGGGGCGACCAGCACCCTCGGCAGCCCTAGCAGGTGAGTGCTTGCCCCTGTCTGCCTGAAACAGAGTCTGCCCATCAAGACCCAGGTGCACGCTGAGGCAGCAGCAGCAGTGACAGACAAGCATCCTGGAGCTTCTCCAACGCGGAACACCACGTGGCCCGCAGCCCAGATTTCTGAAGAGGTTTGGGTTCTGAGAGTACCTTCTGCTATTCCCAGGAAGGCTGTGACGGCTCCCATGCCACTGGATAACAACCATTTTCAATGGGTTCCTGGGACAAAGCTTCACATCTCATCAGCCTCTTATTCTACTTTCTTGGGGAGGGTGGGGGGGCTGGGGATTGAATCCAAGGGCACTTACCCATGGAGCCACATCCCCAGCCCTTTTTATTTTTATTAATTTTATTTTGAGACAGGGTCTCACTAGGTTGCGTACAGCTTTGCTAAGTTGTTGAGGCTGGCTTCGAACCTGTGATCCTCCTGCTTTGTTTTAAAGAGATCTTCACGTTGAAACAGAAAAAGAGACTTTAAGAAATGTCTTTTCTGGGCAGTGCTGGGCAACACTGATATTGGGCACCAATCCACCAAGGTGAAGTAAGTCACTCAATTAGAGGGAGGAAATCAGCCTTTAATCCAGCACCATAGCAGCACCATCTGTGGAGAGCTCATTATCCTCCCAGCTCCAGTGCCTTTTCTTTCCACACCTATCATTACCTTGGCAGCACTTTCCATACCAAGGGTACCAAATGGCTTGAGGAAGGACATCAGCACCATTGATGCTCATGGCTAGCTTTAGACACTTCTGTAATTCGTGTGTGTGTTACAAATGATTTCACTGCATATATTTGTCTTCTCTACCCTTGCAGGTTCTGCTTCAAGTCACTGAGGATGTCTCCTGCCCCAGATAAGATTCTGGCTGTAAAACTAGCTGGCTAAATAATGTCCATTGCTTGTCAATAATTAGGATGCCAAATCACAGGTAAGGTGATAATACCCTTCCCTGCAGATGGAAAGGGAGCAGCTATAAACGGACAATATTTCCCACTAGCCTAATGAAGACTCCCGAGCATCTGGTGGCTCTAGCAGAGAGCGATGAGGCATCAATGCCAGTCACAGACAGCATCAAAGAAAACAGTGTGTGGGTCAGGAAACAGGCAAGCAGACTGGTACCAGACAGGGCACTGCAGTGCTAGCCATCTAATTAAAAAAGCATTTCAACAGGAACAAGACAGCGCTGTCTGAAGATGCTGTTTTCACATGTATTCTTGCCAAAATGACACACAAAAAAAAGCATTTTTGAGTTGCTTTCAGAGGTCTTCAAGGAACTCGCTCCTTTTGCCAAGTCTCTCACTGAGGAAACCACCAGAGGAGAGATCTGTCACAAGTCGGACCCCTTCCAGCTCCAGACACAGTCTCATTCTCATCAGGGTATCATGGGGACTGGAGCCAAAAGACTGTGTCAACTGGAGGGCCAAGCTGGTTCATAAAACCCAAAATATATAGGGAGGTTACTTCTTAACTGGTTACATTGTTTCAAGTCAGCTCAAAGGACTTCCATACAAACACTGTACTTCCTACGGAACCCCATTAAAATAAGACCTGGTAGAGCCCCAGGACCTTCTGAAAATGACTGTGGAAGTTAAATTCTGGGGTGTGCAGAAGGCATGCCACCTACTCGTACCCAGGTGATAAACTCACTGCTGCCTTGCTCTGTGGTATTTGCCAGGTTCAAAATAGGCGGTTCACGCCAATTCCCCACATCCTTCTAGGACTCATCAGACTACATATGGCAACAGAAGAGTCGGCCATATTGCCTCTCTCTGAAACTTGCCTCCAACCTGCAGAGCTCCCATATGCAGATCACTGAATCCTAGAAGGCTAGGGAGGAACTGGCACCGAGTCTCATGTAACTTCACTGCCTTTACAAGAGAAGAGTTAAGTTTAGCTACCCTGCTGGAATGGCACAAGCGCTTTCTGAACACTAACACCTGAGGGCAGAGATCTAATAGCACAGATGATACAGCCCAGAGCCACTGTTCTCACATGGAGGTCAAAGGAATACGATGCCCTTGCTGTAATTAAGGTGACTGAAAAAAACAGCAGAGAGTGCCCCCATCACCACAGGTGGACGGGGGTGATTCAGGAAGACCACCAAATGACAGCCAACCCAGGCATTAAGTAAAGCACAAGCCAGTGCGATTACTATTAAAGGTCTGCCATTTACTGAACACCTGTCATGCAGAGGTCACTACGTTAGGCACCTGTATTTCTACCCACAATATTATGAGACGAGATTTGATCAGCCTCACCTTACGGCGTGGGGAAGAGCTTGACGAAGGTGGAGCCAGAACTCTGATCCGAGATGTCAAAACCTACTCTCCTCCCCTCGCTCTCCTCTGGAGGTCTGAGACCTACGTAGTCACTAGAGCACCCAACCAGGGCCCTCAGGGTCCCCAGGGATTATTATCCCGTCCCTTGGGTTTCATACCTCCAGTCAGTTCCATTGTTAGCTTTTCATTTTCAATCATTTTCTTCTTTTCTTCTAGTTCAGCAATTAGGTTCTCTTTCAGCTCAACCTTCTTGTCTTCAAATTCTTTCACTGCTGCCTTCTTTTCCTTAATGTAATTTCTTTCCACTTGCTCGGTCTAAGTAAAAGAGAAACACAGGCTAGGGGGACACAGCCAGGCATCCAGGGCTCCAACTCCAAGTCCAGCTCTGTCCTCAACAGCAAAGAAAACCCCTTCCCCAGAAATACAAGTGGTATCTCACTGACACACGAGAGCAAAGGGGGTCTGAAGGCAAGGCCCGGGGAGGGGGGAGGGAGGACACAAGACCACCACTCGCATGTCAGTATCCACACTTGCTATGAGGTAACTCCCCTCTCCCACGCCTCAAATTTTATAGCTTTTATGTTAATACAACATAAATTTCTCAAGAATAGTAAATAATCCCTTTTAAAGTCATAATTTTAAGGAAAATAGTTTATTCCAAATGAAGTAGCTATCTTGAAAATTACTTACACAATATAATGGCCCGATGACACAAACTAGTAACAATAAACGTGGACGAGGATGCGAGAAAAGGGAGTATGCATACACTGTTAGTGGGACTGCAAGCTAGTTTCGACTCTTACAGTGAGAAATGAACAAGTACAGTAGGTCATTGATTAGGAGCCTGAATCCTGCAGGATTCAGAGACGTTGAGATAAAAATTGCAGGGCTGGGGCCACGGTTCAGCGGTAGAGCACTTGCCTAGCATGTGTGAGGCACTGAGCTCGATTCTCAGCACCACATATAAACAAATAAAATAAAGGTCCATCAACAACTAAAAATAAATATTAAGAAAAATTGTGTAAGCAGTCACTTTTACTATCTCACCACTGTGCTGTGACAAGGGGCCTGCAGGGGGCATGGTCTGGGCTGTGTGAATCTCTAGGCTGTGGCCACATGCGCTGAATTGACTTCATTACTACAATGGTTTCCAGTAATACAGCTCTGATAAACCGTGACCTTCTCCAAAGCACCCCCCACCAGCCACCAGCAGCAGCACAACATCCGAGACCCAGCYTTGTCCCGAACACAGCACTGTGCCTGACATGGCGGCAGCACTGGGGTCTCTGTGGAGTGAAAGAAAACATTCAAAATGTTTCCTATTGGCCCAGAAAGTTTCAGCTGTACATGGAACTGTTGAGCCAATTCAGAAGCTGCACTGAGGACCAATAACAAATTATTCGTCCACCACAACTTAAGACATACTCTCAAAGGGCTTTGGCAGAAGCTAAAAGCCAGCAAAAAAGCAGTGGAGTGTGAGTGTCCCCAGTTCCCTGTGATGCACAGAGGCTGCCCAACAACAAAGAATAGACRGAACATCTTAATCAGGATCAAGTGTCCTTCAGTCAAACCGAACGGTGGCAAAGGCTTCCAAGCCATCTACTTGGTGACAGAAGGAAAGGCCACCAGATCGGCAGAGTCAGTCTCAGACTACAAACCCGGATCCCGTGGTACTCACTTCCAGCTGGAGGAAGAGTTCTGAAAGAGATGAAAACTGCAATTAGATTCCCAAGGCTGTGTCACCGTTTTAGACAGGGATGTTGGATTCATTTAGAAGCAGTAATTGCTTTCTGAAAGCAAATTACACAAAGCAAATGTTTTCATCAGTAAAGTGCTGATATACATGAAGGGAGGACGCAAGCAGCACCAGTGTCGCGTCAAAATGTGGCCCTCAACAGAAATAGCTCTGGCAGCTCTGCCTGAGGGCCAAAGCCAGCTGTGGAACCAAACTGCTAAATAAGCCACTCCTCCCTCCACTCAGCCCTCCCTGTCCCTCAGTCCCAGAGACTGCAGGACAGGCCAGGAAGAAGCAACACGACTCCTGGACAGAGTCCACGCCCATGGTCCCATGGGGTGTGAAGCTCTCTGTGACAAGGGAAATCCAGACAACAGAGGTTCTTGGGCTTTCTGGGACTTTACTCTCAGGCCTACACTCTGCCCACACCAATGCCTCTGCCAACAATACCACCAGGCCTCCCCAGTCACATTGCCCAGCTCTGATCTAAGGCAGCCCTTTCACTCATCAAGCCCCCAGCAGACACACTCAAGGTACCTCCAGCAGTATCCAGTGACTTACTCAGCACCTGTCTGACCTGTCTGCCGGTGGTAGTAATCATCTACCCAGCAGCCTATCCCCCGTAAGCCCCTCTACAAACCACTTACTTTAAACAAAATAGGTCTTTGGCCTCTGAGCTTTTCTGGGTGACAGTGGACCTGCTACATATGGTCCACAAGGACTGCTGGAGGACCAGAAACTCCAAGGCTGCCGTCTTCCGTTTAAAATGGTCCCCTTTGCAAACCTGATATATCCTTTAGACCCATTCTCAAGAAAAAAAGCACACTCGTACATGTTCTAGAATTTTCAGAGTTCCAGGAACCCCAGATTAAAAGCCCCAACCTGTTAAATGGAAACAATTAACTGAGAAAATTTTCTGACCCCCAGAAGTCCTTATCACTTTGGCCCTGGGAGTCACTGGGCACCGCAGCCCAAGCACACCTAGCCCAACATGCTCACTCCTATGCCTGTTTTGGACTGAATGGACCAGACATTTCCAAGTCCTGGGCCACCCGAGAAATCACACCTGAACCAAGTCAAATGACACTTAGCACTTAAAAGTTGGTGGTGGTTGTTTTAAAGCAGCCAGAGACCAGACACAACAAAATCAGGTGGATTTTCTCTGCATGCAATGTGCTTTTTAAAGCTCAAGTCATGACTGATTTAGGAGCTCTTCTGCATGTTCATCTGGGAGGAAGAGGTGTTTACGAAATAACACAAGGACAGCACTGAGAGTCGGCATGAATTAAGAAAAACAACTCAATACTCACCCTGCTGTTCCAGCTTAGGAAAAATGGCTCACTTCAATTTTTTTTCCTTTATTTACATCCTAAGCCAATTCCCTGGGCAATTCGTACTCCCCTCTACAGACAGGGAAACTGAGGCTTCAAGAACCAATAACCTGTTTAAAGGCACTGACCCAGCGTGATGAGGGTGGCCTGAACGTAGGCCCTTCTCCTTCCACAATGCCACCTCCTCCATCTGTAAAGGGGAGCCCTAGGAAGACGACTTCCGATTCTAATGCTATCCCAAGGAGGCGCCTGGGAACTCAGAGTGGACAGCGCCAGCAGTGGGGACAGGCAGGATGTGGGTGGGCAGAGGGCTAATGGCTGCAGCTCCATTTTCCCAGCACCCACCCTCTTCTGCTCCCTTCCTATCTGCTGGTGCACACTGCACACCTTCTTGCTAGGTGGAGAGGACAAGGGTTTCTACAACAGGAAGCTTGAAAGTCACTGGATGGAACTCAACAGGAAAGCACAAGGAGTGGCACTCAGACCTTCTTTTAAAACCCAAAACTACTTCTCCCACGACGGGAACACCTGCTGGTACTCAGAATGCTGGCTGGTGACGCACTTTTAAAATTTAGAACACATAAAAAAATTTCCTGTAAGCTCAAGAATTGTTCATACAATTTAAAACAGTTGTCGAATCTTACTTTCTTTATTCCTTAACTGCTCTTGTGGATAGCTTTTGTCAATGAAACAGCAGGTTCCCTAAGTCAAGGACAATGTGTTACAACTTCATGCTGCTCACGGTGCTCCCATGCAGCTGTCCAACATACAGGCTGAGTGAGTACACTCGCCCCATCCAACAGACCCAAAGCAAGCTCCTCCTCCTAAATGCTTAGGATATTTGGGGAAATAAAAAGAGGACACCTCCCCACCCCAAAGCACAGAACTCGAGAAGAAACATTTAAGTGGGTATGAAATGACCCACAATCCTTTCCCCTCTGACTGTCTGTTAAGTCAGCCACAGAAATAAATGCGAAAAAGTGCAAGACTACTCTTGGGGCATCCGGGAGAGCCACTTGACTACAGGAAGCCACTGACTGATTCCTGTGACTACTGGCAAAAAAGGTGAACCAATTTTATAGAGTCTCTCCACCCTCATCCTGTCCCAGCAGTGAAATGTCTAGGATACATATGGAAGATGCCCTCGGGGTCATATGGCGGGGCTGACGAGGTGTGAACCTGCAGAGCCTCACCTGCGTTTCGGATCCTCTCTTTGTACTGCTGATCCAGCTTTCTCATTCTCTTCTGATACTCCTGCAACGTTCCTGATGGCCATTTATAAAGCACAAAGTGATTTTAAAGATCAATCTACTCTAAATTTTGTCTCTTAAAATTATTTTCTCACACCAATCATAACAGTTTTAACTCCCAAGAAAGCCACAGCTGAGCAGAGCTAACTGGCTTCTGGTCCTCAGCTAAGGCACACAGCAGGCCCTGCCGGGGGCCTAAGCACAGTGCCCCGCCTCGGTACACTGAAACTCCTAGTGAAGTGAGTGCACTGGCGGCAGCCTGGAATCCCAACAAATCCGGAGACTGAGGCAGAAAAATCAAAAGTTCAAGACCCACCTGGGTAACTTAGCAAGAATCTGCCTCAAAACAAAAAATATGAAAAGGGCTGGGGATGCAGCTCAGTGGCAAAGTGCCCCTGGGTTCAAGCTGTGGTACTAAAAATAAACACAACTCTGAAGTGAAAGGGGGGGGGGGACTGGAGGTGTGCAGACACTCCACCACGTGATTCTGGTCACTTGCTCCTATAGTCCAAGGCGATAGACCTCCCTTTCCTGGAAAAAGTACCTTCTGCAATAGGGTCTAGGCCAAGGCCGTCCAGCAGAATTTTCTGAAATGGTACAAATGTACTATATTTGTACCATCCGCCGGGTAGCAGCTAGCTCCATGTGGCTCTTATAGCACTTAAAATATGGCCAATGCCACTGAGAAACCAGATTATCAATTTAAATTAAATGCAAAAAGCCACATGTGGCTAGTGACAATACCAGAAGGCTTCTGAAAATCTCGCTCATTCACTGTTCTTCTCCAAAGCAGCTCATTATCAGGATCCCAAATTTGTGGGGAAGTGTCTCCTGATCCTAACACCYGCTCACAGGCTAGTCCAGGTGAGTGCACCCGCCCCCAGCAATAAAGTGCCTAGTGGAAGGGCTGGGATGCAGCTCTGCGGGAGAACACTTGCCTAGCATGCCTGAGGTCTTGGGTTCAATCCCCAGCACTGCGGGGTGGGGAGTGGCAGTATCACTGACAGGGGACAGCCCAACAGAAAATCAGAGTGAATGGCAACAGCGCACCATGCCCAGGTCCTCATGCTGCATCCAACGTTCCACACGCTCCCTCTCGTTTTCATTTCGCAGATTAGAAAACAGATTGAGAAAGGGCCATGCCCAGAGTCACATGCTGGACAGCAGTGAAAATGGTTCCCATTATGGAACCTGAGTGCCTGCGCTCATCCCCACGCCACCTGGGCCTCAGCAGCCAATGACTCGGCCCACTTGTAATTCAACAAACAAAACAGAAAACAGCATGGCTGGTCCACAGTCCATTGAAGCTTTGTTGAGAAGAGGAATAAAACTTCATTCTTTGATAACATCTCCCTCAAAAACACACAGCCTGAGGCACAGAGGTTTTCAAATTGTGCCCTACAGACAGCCCCAAATGAGAGYTCACTTAAAGAAATCGCTACATGTTGAAAATAAATTTAAAATAAGAATTTGAAAAATCAACCCTTTACTGATAAAAGAGAGCAACATGTGTACTGATTAAAATCAGTCAGACTAGGGGCTGGAGTAATGCTCAGTAATAGAGCATTTGCATAGCACATGAGAGGCACTGGGCTCCATCCTCAGCACCACATACCAATAAATGGAACAAAGGTATTGTGTCCATCTACAACTAAAAAAATTAAAATTAAAAAAAAAATTAAATTTTCAATCATTCCCACAAAGAAGTAAAATACAGATTTCAAGGATGTGTAACACTAAGAATGTTTAGGAGTAAAAAAGCTGGTCACCAACCTTCCTGCAGCTGTTGCAGCTGCCTCTTGAGAGAAGCCAGTTTGTCCTGATACATCCTGAAAAAAAGAAAAGCCACACTGAAAGACAAACACTCAGTACTCTATTCCGAAACATTCTACACACAGGAACTGCCTAGCTTGTTGGATTTAGCAGAAGGAACACTCCCATAACGAGGACATATAAATGGCATTAAACACAACTCTTACATCAACTCTGCAATTAGACTCTAAATGGAAAAGGAGTGAGTCTATGCCCCCAGCCTGTCTTTTCATACAGACAGCATAGCTGTCTGAGCACAAGTCAATAAACCTTCATGTGATTGCTGAAAGCACTCCTCTTTCAGGATCAGAAAAATAATAGACATTCAGAAACAAAAGTTAAAACGCAGGATTTACTTGCAGCCCCAGCTGGGTGAGAACACACAGCACACAACGGCACAAGAACACGGCATGGTATTTTTTGCCTCCCATACCCAGTGGATTAAAGGCAATTACACACTCTGGCAAGTCTGCCTGAACCGTGGATTCTACACATAAATTACATTTTGACAATATTTTTGCTTCTACCTGAAAAACACCTCCCCTTTCTCAGTGACAAAAATAGGATCTGCAACCCCCCAAAAATACTGTCCAACATATAAAAAAGGATCTGCAACCCCCCCCCAAAAAAATACTGTCCAACATATAAAAAAGGTGCAACAAGCTGTGTGTGTGTGTGTGTGTGTGTGTGTGTGTGTGTGTGGCGCGGCGGTAGCAGTACTAAGGATGGAACCCAGGATCTTTCACGTGCTAGGCAAGTGTTCTACACTGAGCTACAGCTACAGCACCCCTTTTCATTTTATTTTGAGACATGGTCTCACTTATCCAGGTTGGCCTTGAACTTGCCATCCTCCTGCCCCAACACCCTCCCCCAGTAGCTGGGATGATAGGCACCACCAAACCCAGCACAATGGCCCTTTAATTGCTCAAATAACCAATTCTCTGTAGGAGGAGGAAAGGATAGGAAGAATCTGAGAACCCCACAGAAGGTCTGCCCTTTACAGCAAATTCCAAAGTACTCCTCAGGCTCACCTTAAATCACAGGAAGCAACCAATTTTAATCAAAATTATTTTTTATCTCACTAAATATTAAGGAGGCACTTTCAATCAAAAGATTGTCTCTAAAATTGATGCTCAAAAACATCAAGTACAGGAGGGATGTATGAGCCACACATGAGAAGTCAATATTTGGAACCCAGGGCATTAAATTTTTTACCACATGGAGAGTGCCAGCTGGTACCCATGTCTGAGTATGTCTTTGAAAGGGAATACTAGCAAATTGAAGAAGGAAATAGAAAAAAAGAAAATCAGATTCACTGAGATCATGTACAGGAAAAGGGACAGAGGTATAAGAATACATCTCAAACAGGTCAAGTAAAAAACTTGCAAAGAAAAAACCTAGCAAAAAGAAAAAAAAAAGGGGGGGGACTGGGATTGTGGCTCAGCAGTAGAGTGCTCGCCTAGCACGCACAGGACCCGGGTTCGATTCTCAGCACCACATAAAAAAAATAAAAATAAAAAGGCATTGTGTAAAAAAAAAGAAAAAGAAAAAGAAAAAAAAAAACAAGCAGTTTCAGGGATGAAACAGCACACAGGGGCTGGGGATGTAGCTCAGGTGGTAGAGTGCTTTTGCCTCACATGCACAAGGCCCTGGGTTCAATCCCCAGCACCACAAAAAAAGTAAGTCCAAGAGCACGTGAATTTTTAATCCTTCATTCAACACCAGTCAGACTTAGCTGAACTACCCCTTTCAGGTTCCAAAGCTTGAAAGGGATGACAGAATTCAGAGGATGGCCACAAACATTTGCACACAGGACTGAAAAGGGGAAGAATGTGGATCATCTAGTTTAAAAATAAAGATTTTTAAAAGTTACATCAAGATCCTTAAAATATCTCCAATAAATACTTATTGAGCATGTATCTTGATACTGTCTTCTGTATGATAAAAGCAAGTAGGGGGCATAGGGGTGCAGGCCTGCAATCCCTGCTACTCAGAAGGCTGAGGCAGGAGAATCACTTGAGCCCAAGAATGGGGGGGAGGGGTGACGGGCTTGTCTGGCTGGCGGCAGGGTTTGGTGAGGATGACAAAGACCTGTGTGAACATGCACAGGGCAGAGGGACAGTCAGCAGCAGCCTGCTCTGCAATCCAGTTTCCTTGGGCTCACAGAGTTGGCCCTCAGTGGTTCACATCCATTTGAGAAGACAGTTGTTTTGAGACACCTCTCTGAACATTAGTTTTCACATCTAAAAAAAAAGCCATGGTAAAATATGGCCTTATTTCATCCTCTGTGATCACCTCCACCAAGGTTCCTTTGAGACTACCCTTCAAGAGCATCTTAGGAAAACTAATTAAATTTGATTAATTTAGAGGTAAAAAATTACATATATACACAGGCTTTGAAAGCACTAATGTCAAAACCATGTACACATGGCGGCTATAAAATATTTTCTTATCAATTCTACATTTCAGAAAAGACATACAAAAATCATACTCACTGTTCCTTCATTTCTACATAGTCTTCTTCGTCGTGCTTTGCCAGGTCAGTTTCACTAGCATCCTCAGTATCTGAGTAATATTAAGGAAAAGGGGTTACATAAAAATCATAATTCATAGACTTGGTATCACCTGACAATATAAGTACTTAATAAGTTTCTGTAAAATGAATTTCTTCTCAAGACAGGCCTGCATGAGCAGTCAGTGAAAAAGACAAAATATTGTTAAGACAGGAAAGAAAATGCCATTTCTAACTTACACAGAGTCATATTTACAGAGAGCTTGCCTTTACCTGAAATGCAGCCTGAGAAGAGGGTGCATCAGACACAGGCAGTCATGATCAAGGCTGCTACTCTGCAGAACCAACAACACTGGCAGTTCAGGCAAGGAGGTATAAGCTAAGACTGGACACTGTAGGCAGTCAAGCCCTACTCACTGTCAAGAAAAACTCAGTGGGGCTGGGACGAGGCTAGGTGGGAAAGTGCTTGTGTAGCATGCACGAGGCCCTGGGTTTGATTCCCCAGCACAGAAAAAGGAAAAAAAAAAAAAAAAGAAATCCTAGCATACACATTCTCTTCTGATACTTGCTCATTTTTAACCCCCTCTAACATTTTACATTAAAATATATACAATAAAAAAGGAGAATGCCCCCCAAACAAATTGAATTCTAAGAACYGAAGTGCAAAGTTACAATCAAAGGAAGCAGGACAGAGGCAAGAATATAAAACAAAAACATTTTAAAACACCGTTCTCAGAACAAGCAAATGGCTGGAGTATCTACATAATTTTCACAGCCCCTTATACTTTCAAGGAGGAAAAAAATAAATAAAATTTAGCTTCATCACTCCCCCTGGTGGGTATTAAAAGCATTACATGTATTTCACATTATAAATCTCTGGTTCAGTCTTGCCTTGGGATGTGGTTAAACTAAATGTAAGTTTCTTCAACTTTATTTTCCCTATATGCAGCTGCCTTTGAGAGGCTGTTGCAGATCCAATTCTCCACTAACTCTTCTCCCTTCCTTCAGCGGAAGAGACCTTCACCTGTCATGTGCCAGCCTGCCACATTATTTGGCACTGGGGAGACTGAGATGATTAAAACAGACTTCATTCCAGACAGCTGGTCTAGCTCTTGCTTTTACGGCCCTATTTTGTGCCAGAATATTCCACCGGTTCATCAGTCTCTATCACCTCTTTCTTGCTTGCCCTTTTTACATTTCTTCACCTTTCTCCTCCTGCAGACAGTTTCCTTCCTCAATGCCTCCAAAACAGTTTTGCTCACACTTGCCAATAGGTAAAGCCCAATTTGAAAAGCAAGGCTGAGAGGCAGTAAATGATAATATAAAGAGCATGGAACCGAAAATATGTCTGGGCGCCATAAAGTAAATCCCTACCTCCTCCTGTGCCTGTTTTTCCAGTGGTGACCGGCCAAGTACTTGATGCACGTTATCTCATTTAATCCTCACACCTTCCCTAAGAAAGGGGACGACTTGGGACACCATTGCAGTTGGTTCAAGTTGTCTACGGTTACGAAGCTGGTTTAAATGACAGCCAAATTCAAACCTAGGCTAGCTGGTTGCAGGTCCCGTCCTTTTAACCTGTATTCTCTATCGCGCGCTGTACCGCGTAAATRAAGCTCATTTAAGCATTTCAGGGGACTTGGGACCGAAGAAGCCAAACTGGCCTCCACTCTGATCCTCGGGGCGGGCGGGGGGAGTACTACTCAAGGAACTCAGTGGATGACTTTCCCATTCCAACCCGCRAAGACTCTGAGGTTCAACGGTTGGGCTGGGGGGTGGGGGGTGGGGGGCTTGTCTTAAAGGGACCAGCAGCTCTCACTACCTCCAGCCCCCTCCTCCCTTGACTGGAGGGTACGAAGCACCCGGGCTGCCCCGTCCCCCCAGAGCGGCCCCTCCAGCCAGCCCCAAGCCCCGGAGGCCGCCCCGCCCCTCTCCCGTGCAGCCCCACCCCAGCCCACCGCCGTCGGGCGACCTAGAGGACGCACCTTCGTCAGACTCGCGGCCCCGACAGCTGCGCTCGTCGTCCTCGGCGCTCTCCAGCTCCTCGTCCTCCTCCGGGTAGTACTCCGGGGCCGGCGGCGCTCCAGCCGGGGCCGGAGCCGGAGCCAACAGCCCCGCAGCACTCATGTCGTCTTTAGCCGCCGCTGAGCGTGCCCCCGGGAGATCACRGCCACCGGCTCTGGGGACTCGACGCCTGCCTAGCAGCGCCGGAGGGAACCCCTAACCTGAGGAGCTGGAGCCCCAGCGACCCCTTCCCCGTCTGCGCCGAGCTCCGCCCCCCGCGCCCGCGCTCGGCAACGGGGGCCTCGCGCCGCAGGCGACTTCCGGGTCGCGAGCTGCCCGAAGACGGCCTGACTCCGCCATCCTTGAGAGGGTGGGGAGGACCCCGGACGCCCTTTTTGCGGGAATCCCAGCCCTTTCCTCGCCGACTTAAAATCATCAACAGGCAGTGGAGGAGGGGCGGAGGCCGGCTCCCTGGAGTTAGGCAAATATACGGACAGCCCTACCCGCAGCCAGGACCCCGAGTCTCCAACGAGACTTCCGGAAACAGCCGCCAGGCGGCGCCCGGAGCCAAACCTAAAACGAGGATAGTAAGCGACCTGAGGGGCGGAAGGTTTGCCCCGCCTTGGGCAGGTGGAAGTGGACTCTGATTTTAGCAGGTGAACAACATGCATATCCTCTTAATAAGTCAGGAATCTGGACGGCCAGAGTAGGCGTTGTCTTGCAGGGGGAGTGGTGGGGRAGCCTGGCTCCTCCCCTAGATGAAGAACTGAAATAAAGACAAGGATGCTGATATTCGGTCCTGGGTCCGCAAAACCCTACTTTCCCAGTCCTTGGGAATCCTTTCTGTTGCACAGCTGGACTCCACACGGTCTTTTCCTGATTTTACGAATGGCGAGAAGAGCTGTCATTTGTCTAAGGGGAAGAAAATGGCAGCGTCCAGTGTGCTTGATTTATAAAGACCACCAGACCCATGCTTCTGCCTCATGTTTCCTTGAACATTAATTTTTAGAAACCGTTTTTGCACCAGTCCAGTAGCTTACTAACCGACTCTCAACTGAATGAGCAGAGCATTTGCCTACAGGAAGCAATTTGGCTAAAACTCGGGGGTAAAAAGCTGAGTATCTGCATGAGTTAATTTGTGTGATTCCCTCTGACTAGAAAGGGAAGACAGTGTAACAGATTTTGCTTAGCAAACGAATTTAGGGTATCCCTTTTGCKGAGAACAGCGTGGTCTAGTTGTTTGTAACAAGAAACAAAAATAAAAAAAAGTGCCCAGAGGWGTTTAATGGTCTGTCCAAAGTAACCTCATTCTATTTTAGATACAAGTCTTCGTAGAAAAAGTAATAAGTAATAAAACCAAACATAGATGTGAAAACCAGGGTGGAGCCTAACACAGCATTCTGATACTTAGAACCCATGTGATCACAATTTATCTCTAAATTGGCCCCCAGAGCCTTCTAAAAATGTATAATTTTATTCTCCTACCATTTATTTTGATGTTTCTTATTTACTACCTTGTTTTAATTAAAATCTTGGCTCTCTCTGTAAGGGATAATTCCTCCCAACAAAACACAAAAATTTGCAGAATGGAATGCTGAGATGTCTTTCCAGGAGTTCAGCAATCTTCTGAAGGTCCTTCTCAATAAGAGGCATTCTCAGCTCACTGTAGGTCCGCTGTCTATATTTAAACTAGAATTTCAGGATTGTCTCTTGTCCAAAAGATGAAGTCATTTTCCTTCTCTTTTTTTTTTTTTTTTTTTCCTTTTTCTCTCAGAGTTTTAGCCAAATTTTTTGGATCACATCTAAATTATTTGTAATCAACTACATGGAGCAAATAGAGTTCATATCAGTAACAATATTCATAAAGCAAAAAAGGACCACCATGTTAGAAATCAGAGTTAATTGATATAATGAATCAGAAAATAGTTGATTTCATTGTTGAATGTTGACTTTTTTTTTTTTTTAAGAGAGAGTGAAGAGAGGATAGAGAGAGAATTTTTTTTAATATTTATTTTTTAGTTTTCGGCGGACACAACATCTTTGTTTGTATGTGGTGCTAAGGATCCAACCTGGGCCCCACGCATTCCAGGCACACCACCGATTGAGCCACATCCCCAGCCCTTTGACTGTTTTTTTTTTTTTTTTTTTTTCCTTCCAGTCAGGTGCAGTGGTACATGCCTATAATTCCAGTGACTTGGGCGGCTGAGGCTGGAGGATTGCGAGTTCAAAGCCAGCCTCAGCAACTTAAGAGGCCCTAAGCAACTAAGTTCATGAGACCTTGTCTCAAAATAAAAAATAAAAAGGGCTGGGGATTTAGTTCAGTGGTAGAGTGCTGCTGGGTTCAATCCCCAGCTGGGGGGTGGGGGGCGGAGAGAGAGACAGGGGTTTTTGTCTTGTTTTTTGTCCAGAGAGAGACTGGGGTTTTGTCTTGTGTTTTGTCTTCTTGGTTGCAAACAGCATCTGTTAATGGTCATGCATTTTTTTATATGTAATGCAAAGACACAACTAAACTCTTGGGTGGTGAACATTTACCCCATTTTTTCTATTCAGTCTTTCCAGCTGAGAAACTGATGGGATGAGCTCTTAACTAATAAATGCTCTTTGGTGAAGGGAGAACCTACTCAAAAAAAAATTCATGGCTTTAGTCTTACCCATCCTTCATGGTGGTTTAATATGATTTTGTTCAGTCTTTATGCCTGTAAAAATCAAGTTATGTCAAAATCAAGTTTGCCACTTGAAATCTTCTACTGCATCTGTTCCCAAAGTGGTACTCGGCCACACAGCTCTGGAAACATCTGGTTCAGAACCTGACTGAAGCAAAAGTCCTGCCAGCCCCACTATTTAAAATGCCAAATTGTCAAAGTCCATTAACTTACTCTGGGTGGGTGAGGAAAGCAGTTTTCAGTGCCCAGTCCTGATTTAATCAACATATCCAGTTTCACAAAAATGGCCCTGAGTAGCATGGCGCCCTTTCACCCCTGGCACTTTCATTGTGGGTCAAGATGGGTCTCTGATTATCACAGGTTGCACTTGGGTCAAAGCTCGTTATCCTTTGGCCATAAATTCACACAGAATCATTAAAACCTGTGACCCTGAGAAAAAGGTTATGTTGAATATGCTTGCTGAAATCTTGCTAACAAGGATGCCCATGCCACAGTTCCTAGTTCTACTGTCATCAAAACCCACAAACTGTTTATTTCCTTTTTTTTTTCCTTGAACCTATCAAAGTGTGCCCCGTCCGCGTTGAACGTTCAGTGTGCACAGTACGCACCTAGTACATAGCTTTTCCCCAAACAGCATTAAACCGACGTCTGCTGAACGCAGTACAAGGAATGGCAACTCCCTGTCAAGAGATCCAGGAAATATTTGCAAGACCTAAGCGAATAAAYGGTGCACAAATTGAGGGCAGAATGACTAAGAAATCCGCTCAAGGTCTAGCGAGAGAAGGGCGTCCTCTCCCGACGCTCTCACGTGGTGGTCTCCGGGAGTCTCCCTAAACAGTGCAGGCGTGGGGAGGAGGGCCATGAACTTTGACCCCAGCGCAGCACAAACAAGACGGACCGCGCCCCAGGCGGGCCCGCGGGTAACTAAAGTTGCARGGTCTTCCGAGTCGGAGGAAGCCCCGCCCCTCCCCGTCCGGCCCCCCGTCGACTCTGCCAATCCTCGGGCCCCATCGACCGCTCGGCTTCCCAGGCACTTCCAATCAAATGACTATATCCAGCCTCGTTCCTGTGCTTCGCGATCAGGGAAGGTCAGTAGAGAGCCTATCGGAGCCGAGTGGGGGCGTGGTCAGGGGCAGGGGGCGGGCAGACTAAGGAGGTGGGGCGGAGCGCGCTCGGCGCAGTCGGGTGCGATTGGCCACCCCTGGCAGGAGCCGCACCTCGGACAGCAGCAGCGGCGGCCGCGGGAGGGTTGGTGTGGCGCGGGGCGGTGGGGTCCTGTGTGGAGAGTGGGGCGCGACTCCGAGACCGCGGGCGGAGGCTGCGCGCAGCGGGATCCGGCACCCATAGACGCGACCCGTGGGTCCGCCAGGGTTCAAGCCGCAGGAGAGCGACTCGGGAACAAGTGTGCGAGAGGAAGCGGCGGTGGCGACGCCGGGCCCGGGGTGGTGACAGCAGGTCTAAGGTGAGAGTCCCCTGGTGCCGAGTGGTGACAACATGAGCCCAGGCGTGGGGACCCCTGGCGGAGTGAGGCTGGGGGGGGACCCGACCGAGGGGAGTTCCGGGAGAGGGTTGACAGTGCGGTCTGTGGGGAGAAGACCCCCGGAGGGACCGGGACAGCGGGACGAGCGGGGACGTCGAGAGGGTCCAGGGCAGTGGGGCGAGGGGAGAGGTCCCCTAGAGGGCTCGGGACGACGGGGTAAAGGATGGAGACCCGACGGGGACGGAACAGGAGGGTGAGGAAAGGTGCCCCCGAGAGGGACCGGGACAGCGGGGTGAGGGGAGTGGAGCCCGGAGGGACCGGGACAGCGGGTGAAGGGAGGGGGTCCCCAGAGGAGCAGGACAGCGGCGTGAGGGGAGTGGAGCCCGTGTGGAACGGGACAGCGGGGCGAGAGATGGGCACCCCTAGAGGTCCAGGACAGTGGGGTGTGGGGTGGGGACCCCCAGAGGGGCCGGAACAGTGCGACGCGCGGAGGGACCCTGAGAGGGACCAGAACAGCCAGGARAGGGGTTGAAAAGACCCTTTTCAAACCCGAAAAGGGTCCAGAGTGAGAGTATGAGGGAGGGGACCCAAAAGGGACCTGGACAGGGGTCCGAGAAAGAGGACCCCGAGAGGGGCCAGCGCAGAAGTGTGAGAAGGACCCCAGCTAGGCTGAGGACGACGGGGTGAGCGGTGACTCCGCAAGGGGCCCGGACCGAGAGGCGAGGGGCGCGGACCCCCAGAGGGGCCTGGGCGGCGGGAAGAGAAGAGGGGACGGGCCAGCGGCGGAGCGCGGCACCCAGGGTCGACCTGGCGCGGAGGGGCCTGGGGGTCGCGCCGACCGGGTCGTGACACCCCGGGACAGCGCGTCCTGAAGCCTGGGTCGGGGTCGCTACATCGGGCGAGTGGGGACCGTGGGCAGCGCCCAGCGGGCTAGGGACGCTGCTCCCGGGGTCTGGAATCCGCGATCTTCCCTCGGGAAGAGTCCTGGGGACCCTGCGGAGCCGGGATTATGTAACGAAGCATCTCGGAGCTGAGCGCACCGGCTGGAGGGCAGGCGGACCGCGGTGGGAAGGATGGAGAGTCCGGCGGCCTCGCCTCGGCCCGCCCGCGCCCACTCCTTTCCTAGAGTCCCACGTAGATAC